GTCCTGCTATCTCTCTCTGAATGTCCTCACTGCTCTCCCACTCTCTCTCTGCTACACTAGCTCGCAGCTATGGTGCCAAGCGCCGTTGACTACTTCTCGACAGGCACTGTTCACACTTCCAGGATCTTGGTGCCCAGTAACGCAGCAGCACTTCCGCACAAACCAGAATCAAAGAAGAGGCAGATCTTGTTCCTGCCTGCCTCTCCCACGTGAGTTCTGACCCTCTAGTACCAGGCCCTGTCAAGGCTGACAGAGATCCGGTCTGCCGTCAGCCTTGCCTGGACAGAGCTGCAACGGGACCAGGCCTGGACGTGGCGACTCTCTACCTACTGGCTACCACAGACTTCTACTGTTCCTATCGGTCTTATCCTGTCAGATCTCTGTTTTGGCCTGTACTGCACCTACTGGAAGGTTCTACTGTGGCCCTATGGTACAAAGAAAATTAGACATGGTATTGGGACCGTACTGCAGCAGCGCGCGTATCCTTTTGCCGCAAACTTCCTATAAAAAAAATCAAAATTGTGAACTCCCTAAACTGAGGCTTCCCAGAATAGAATGGAGGCTGGACCACAAGGTCATTATGTCTTGCAGACAATCTAAAGGAAGTAGAGGGGAACTTTGACATGACCTTGCGAAGTTGCAGGAAAACTTTGACATGAGTTGTGAAGTTGTGAGCCAATTACATCATGGCTACGATCCGGTCCGGATCCCAGTGCAGACCGTTTGGATCCGGATGTTCATCCAGACGTCCGCTACAGTGTCCAGCCGGGGCAAAATCCAAACGAAAGATATGTATATATTTTTTTACTCTCTTGAGTCTCTTCCCCCATTGTGCAATGCACCCCCCCCAAAAAAATGCTTTGGCTCTTTTTCTTGCCCCTTTAGGGGTGCCAAACAGAGCTGGACTCGGACTAACTCTGATTGATCTTTTACAGAGGGATGGATGGATGGAGAGAGGGGGAGAGAGAGAGACGGAAAGAGAGACGGACCGGGAGACAGAGACATAGACAGAGAGACAAAGAGTGGTACAGAGAGACAGAGAGCGGTACAGGTTGGCTGCTGCCTTGTGGTACTGCTCTTCTGGACTTTGTTTAGCCTTGTTTCTGTGCGTGTGACACTTTGTGTTTCTTTTTTTACCTTTTTTATCAATCCAGACATGGTTGCATCCCTGCCGGCCGCCGACCCCGACCGCCGACCGTATTGCAGCCGACCAGTAGGGCCGACCGGTCGGCGGTCTGCCGACCAGTCAGAAAACAACCATCCACTATTTTTTTTTTACTGCGCTTGCTGAGTACAGCCCAAATCCGCTGAGAAACTTTTGGGGATGGGGGGGTTGGGACTGGGTTGTATAGGGGGATATAGGAGGATATAGGGGGGTATAGGGATGGTATAAGGGGTATTGGGGGGGGTGATGACGGTGTTGGGGGCCGGTTTGTGGGTGTTGGGGGGGTGTTTGGGGGTGCTTGGGGGTATTTGGGGTGGGTATGGGGGTGTTCGTGGGGTTATTAGGGGTTCTGGACCCTTTTTTTTTTGTTTCTTTTTTTTTTTTGCAGGCTGCCCACGACCCCCGACCGGTAGGTGCCGACCAGCCGACCGGTCGGCGGGTCGGCAGCCGACCAGTCAGGGGTCGCCGATGGTCGGCGTGTGCAACACAGAATCCAGATGTTCAGATTTTTCCAGACGTCAGTCCGGCCAGACATTCGGCTGTGCAGGTCCACGTCCAGCGTTGCCATGAATTATATTCAACAATGTAAAACGCGTTAACTTCAAAGTTTCTCAGGGTTCTGCACGTAGCAGACAGCTGTCCACAAAAAGGGAAAAACGAAACAGAATCAATGTGTGTGAGGTGTGTTGGGGCTTGTCATGAGCACAGCAGAATCCTTTTTTCTGTTTTTATTTGTTTTCAGAATAAAGGGCCTCGCTCCACTACTCTCGAACTGAGCAAGACGAGAGCAAATCTTCCGCTAGAACATGGATAGATACACCGCCATGATTTTTTGTTTTTTGTGCATGTCGAGTGTAGCGGAGTGAGGCCCAAAGGCTAGGTAGTAGGAACCCTGCCACATAAGAGACTTGACTGATGAATGGAAAAATTGCAGGGACTAGCAGTAACTGCAAATGTGGAGCACCTGATTAGAAACTCTGCCTCACTGATGAACAAATTCTAAACACCAACAACTGTTCTAATCAATCACCTTGTCAAGAGTTCAGATCCTTTTGGACATGATCATACTTGTGATAGGCAAGGTGGGAAGAAATCCGAAGCATATCTAGGAGCCGCCGATTAGAAGATGTGGATGGCAAAGGATATTCAGAAATAAATGAAGGCAAGGAGTCCAGAAGAGCAGTACCTCAGCCCAGGTTTGTGGTGTGCTTGGACCACCCTCGTGGCTTGCAAAACAACGGGCCCTGTGAAAGAAGGAGAGCGTTGTGCAATCACCAACTGCTGGAATAATAAAGGGGCTAGGCTATCTTGGGGTGGTGGGCCATTTGTGGTTGGTGGAGTGGGGCACAAACACAAGGCTTTCCAGAGGTTGAGATGTCTCGTTACCGTCCGAATGAGAGGGATGCACAAATGACTTCTGATGTCGAAACGAAGGTCTTCTGGTAGATCTTCTAAAATCTCTTCCTCCGGTACTCCTCTAGTGGCCGCCCACTTGTGACGATGGTAGTCACGCACACGCTGATCAGGTTCATCATCCATTATGGATCACACCGCCCAGGACAAAGAAGGCAAACAAACCATGTCAATTTCCTCGATCAATTCCACAAATTGAATACTTAATATAACAAACCAAACAAGGACCCATTGGAGCTCAAACTGAACTGTCTATCCGTCAGTCTGTTGGTCATTCGTTCTGTCAGTCTGTCGGTCAGTCAGTTTGTCGCTCACTCACTCGTGCCCGCCCCCCTGCCTGGCTGGCGCCCCCGCCCCCCCGCCC